ATTGATAGACCTCAATGAGACTTACCTGACTACGCCCCAGAAGGTTATGCAACCAGCAGAGATGTTCATGTTCTCATAGCATTTCCTTTCAAAAGTGGGGATCATGATGAAAAGAAGAGATGCACAAGGATGCCTTGTTACAGCCATTTACACCCTTCTATTCAGTGGCCCATGTAGCCTGGGAGTCGCCGGGACGGTCTAGGAACAAGTTTGGACACGGATTAACCTGTTCATTTCGCAGATGTGCAGTACTCAAAACTGATTCGAGGGTGAAACCATGGACCTTGGGCCTTCAGAACCATCGCTCTACATACCGTAGCGACGGCGTAGTCCAGTTCAAGCCTGTTGAGAACCATGAAAAATCATTCAAAAATTAAATGCCCACTCTGACTTGTGTGGATTTGCCAGATCTGTGTAGGTTTAGGGTGTTTGGAGCCCTGGGTGAAAGTAAAGTTGTGCAGATGAACTGGTGGTTCGAAACAAGGTTGCATCAGACTGCAAAATTCTTCAACCTCTCCTTAAGCCGACGTAAGCTTCTCTGTTGTTGCAGGCTCAGGCATAGGGAGCTGCAGGTTTAGTTAGTCGTGCAGGGCAATGCGGGTCCATGCCGAGCCCTCACCTTGTTCAGTGCCAAATGATAGGAGGTGTAGGTCCTTGAGAGGGTAGGGGTGGATATTGGATTGGGGTTGGCTCTCCCCTTGTTCAGTGCGAAATGATGAGAGGTATGTGGAACTGGGTCGGACTTTCCGGTTATGGATTGGCCCTGGCGGGGGCAGATAGAGACGAGGGGCGCTGTTTTCAGTGGGGAGCGGTGTTAGATGGGCTGTCTTATTGGAGAGGATGAGATGGAGGGAATGGGGGAAACTTCTCTGGCGGATCTCAATTACTGTAGTGTATTGTTCAAATACCTTAGCAAAGTCGTATAAGTTTATTGACTAACAAAGAAAAAACTCTTTTCAGATCCAAATGAATTATGTTGCTATTTATTTCCATCAGAAATCAATTGATTATGAAAAGCAAATCTTACTTTTGGTAGGAGGTGTATGTCCGTAAGGGAGCAGGGTGGCCGTTTAGAGGGCTTGTGCAGAACTGGGGCCGACGAGGAGAAGGGGGGATCCCTCTCAGCGGGGGCACTTGAAGAGCAGGGGGTGTTCTTTTTTTGTCCTTTCATGGGGAAGGGGGTGATTTCAGAGGCCGTGCGATGGGGCCTCTTCATCTGGTGTTTGCACATCAGTGGCCAGCAAGGGAAGGAGTCCTATCCTTCAAAGGTAGCATTTCCGGTGGAAGTGTGCTGCGTCTGGCAAGGTAATAGCTCGAATCGAGGGTTGCACTATTCTGGGGCCGGGGTTGATTAGCGCTTCGATCCTTGGCAAAGGCAGATAGATGCAAGTGGCTAGCCTGCTTCCACGGTGGAAGAGGATTGTCTCCTCCTTCCCGCCCCTTCTGCCGTGGAGGGAGCGGGCGGTGGGTGCTTTCAGCTGATGGCTCCGAGATTTTCGGAGAGAATGGTTATCACAGAGCTGGAAGCTAGGCTACCCCGATGGTGACTACCTTCTTCCCCCAAATACAACGTACGGTCATCATAGCTGTATTTAGACTGACAAATGCTCCAAATACACAGCTATAATGACTGCACGTTGTATTCGGGGGAAGAAGGTAGCAGTTCACCCGACGCCATGCTGATGCCGTCACCCTCGTAAGCTTATGGAGGGCCAATGCCGAAACGATGCTGGCCGGTGCGGGGGTTGGGTTCTGCTCCCCTGTAACCTGCTAGACGGGGCATGAGGCCTGATAGAGAGATCTGGGGAATTGCCAAGGGTACAAGGGATCTGCTCCCCTGTAACCAACGATAGAGAGCTTGTTTACCAGGATGCCGCCGGCAGGAGCTGCGCCGGGTCACGCCGCCCTGTAGTCCAGTCCTGGTGTCGAGGGTATGAGGGTTGAGCCAGGGTTTCGCTTTGGCCTGTCGAGTTGCACTCTGGTGGCTGGGTTTTGGTTCTGCACGCCGCTGAAAAATCTACGAACTCTTTAGGGTTCCAAGGGTTCCTAGCAGCTCATCCGCAGCTCTTCCGATGCTGTTACAGTCGAAGACCTGTGGTTTCCGGGTACCAGAACAACGCTGGGCGGTGCTGGTCTTTGCCCTGTAACATGCTGTCGAGCAGTGACGTGAGGCCTCACAGAGAGATCTGGGGACGCTTTCAGGAGGGCATTCGAAGGGACAACCGGGGGTTGCTCTCAGGACGACGCTGGCCGGTTCTCCCTGAAACCTAACAACATGGGGCTACCAGGCCTGGTAGAGCCTAACAGGGAATAAGACAGCTCCTGGGGGGGGGGTTGCTCGGATCTGTTAAATTATCCTTGGGTTCTGCGTATCCAGATGAATTCTGCAGGTCACAGAATAAGTCTTCTTTGTGGCTGTCTCATTCTCATAGATGTTATTCTCGGACGATACTGGGTGAATGGGCGCAGCAACTCAAGTTGTTTCTGTATATGTTTTCACATGGGACGCTCTGTATCTGTTTTCACATGGGACGCTGGGCCCAGATTGGAGCATAATTGTCAACAAAGAAAGAAAAACAAATCTCCCTAAGCCAGCAAAACGCTTGGCAGATGAGTCACACAAACGTATGCTGGCCCCCAGTGTCACCCGCCAATGGATTCGAGTCGTGTGGCATGTGCAATGCACTTTCTGTGATTTGTGCTTATGTTGTGTGACATATGTGATTCACTTTCTGCCAATAGATTGTCAAACTGCCAGTACTTCCGAGGCATCTTTTTTTTCCCGGGCTGGAAATGCTCTGCATGCCAAGCTTTGTCGAACTGCCATCACGTATTGTGATCCGGTAGCCCCGAAGGTCGGTTAACGTGGCGTAAGTACGTAAAGGGCCCGCACCCGATATATTGGCCAAGTACTGGTTGGTTTAATATCCCTCTTCCCCCTTCCCCCCCACCAGTACTTCCTAAAGTTGTGCCCGTTAACGCGCCACCAGTACATCCGAGAGCGTATGCAGCCAACCACTGCTACAGTCCCGCGATGCTCCCCCCCGGGCCTGTTCACCCCATCACGATACGCGCCGCAGCTTTTTTTTGGAAGTACTGGTGGTTTAAGTCCCCCAGAGATGTATCCAGTGACAAAACTAGACCGCATTGCAGCACGTAGGTGGGTGCGCCCCAATCCGTGATAAACAAAGAAAGAATACTGTCCACTGATTCCAGTGCTCCCAGGGGTCCCTTTCATTGTCTCCGAATGCACCTCCTCCCCGCTCGAGGTGACCACCGCACCTGGCTCAAGTTGTCGCCTTTGTACACTTACCAGCCTCACAATCCCAGCAAGATTAGTTCATATCCTTGAAGGGCGTCTGTGCGATAGGTATGAGAAGACAGTCTATCATAGCCGTACAGCGCACACTGTACACGCATTGTGGCACAGGCCTCTGTGCGTTGTAGACTGTTAGCAGAACAACCCCTTTCCCACCAAGATTAGCACATCCAGAAACAGAAATTAAAAAGCCTTGACTACCAATCTTGTACTGTCAAGGCATGTGTTTGTAATTTTTCTACAAAATGGTCATTCTTTTTTTTTTTTTTTTTTTTCATTGCTGTGTTCTGAAAGGAAAGGTGCAAGGTCCACAAGATCTGTGTACTTCGAGTGTCGATGCATGCACACCCGTTCGCTTTTCCACACACCACCACTTAAAATATTACCCCAGTGATGCTCGTTCATATGTATTTAGTTGTTCTGCACAAGGGAGGTGAGGGAAGGGAAGGAAGAGAAGTGGGGTGAAGCAGGAGAAGAGTGGGAGGGAGGAGAAGAGCCGAGTACTAGAGACTGGCACAGGAGCCCAGTCGGCAGCTACGTCGCATAGCAAAAGGAGCCGAGGAGCAGGTGTTGCCTATTGTAAGTGGCCACCCCTGCAGACTGGAGCGGACCAGTTCGGGTATCAACCGAATGGCGGGGCCGTAGGAGACGCACATTACAGGCAACATGGCTCCCGCATGCAGCCAACACAGAAGCACAACGGCCATAATTGTACAGTCGTTGCCTTTCTAGCCACCACTACCAGAAGGAGATGGCATGCAAAGGTGTCTTTCATGAATACAGTGTTGAGTATCATCGTAGATATGAGAACAAAAGGCTTATCATCATAATTCTCACGAAACAAAAAAGTTAGGGACAGCGGTGCAGAGGAGCAGGGGTTGCTTGTCGTCCTCATAGAGTCTTCGGGACAGTCCATTCATCCAGCCCAAGTATTCTGATCTTCCAGTAGAATTTTCCAGTAGAATTTCCCCCTCAACATGATCAATGGATTGTGCTATGAGGATTAGCTGCTAGGCCTGGAACCATTGTACCACAAGGTACATGGAGCTTTCGAACGATTGTACCACAACGTATGTGGGGCTTTCGTAGCATAATATGCCATAGTTCGCGTGCGCACACACACACACACACACACACACACACACACACACACACACACACACACACACACACACACACACACAATAGTTTATACACACAGACACAGGCATACACGCGCGCGCGCACACACACACTCAGGTTGGTGTGAGTAAAGTTGACCACTTTCTCTCTCAGGGGTGGGTGTCACCAACTCTGGGTAATGTGGTGAGTCCTTATCCAATCCTGGGCAGACTGTCGGGGTTCAACCTTCTGACGAGTCGGTGAAAGTCCGACAAAACAGTCTTTCACAGTCATGCTTTTTTTTAGCGTATAGCGAATATGACAACGCACACACAGCGTACACACACACACACACACACACACACACACACACACACACGCGCGCGCACACACACACACACACACACACACACACACACACACACACACGCGCGCGCACACACACACACACACACACACACACACACACACACACACGCTTACACCCACATGCACACACACACACACACCCACTCACCCACACACACACACCACCCACACCCACACACACACACAGACCGTCCAACGAAACAGTCTGGCGCAGTCATGCTTTTTTTTGTTAAAGTGTATAGCAAACATGACAACAGAAACACTTGTCATTATGTATAGTGAACATGACAACACACACGCAAATCAATGCCAAAAACCTTCAGGGATAGCTTGATGTGATCGTGAGAACTTGAGCGGAACACTTCTCAGCAATTTCAAAATCGTTGTCCTATGCTGAAACCTTCTGCAGCATTTTTGACTGTTACAACAGGAGAGAGCCACTGTGTGTGAAGAAGAGCAATCTTGACACCATGAATCAACCCATACCTAAGGAGCAGGGAACGGACAGCTACAGTGTGTGTGTGTGTGTGTGTGTGTGTGTGTGTGTGTGTGTGTGTGTGTGTGTGTGTGTGTGTGTGTGATATTCAAAATGCAGCACCCTAATTGGAAAAGCCAACAACAAGAAACAATAAAGCTACATATCATGTCTGGAGCTAGCGATCAAGAAGTGAAGGAGTGATTTGATCATTGACACCCAAAACAACTGATTGCACAAGGGGGGGTTATCATACAGATTAACTTTAACTTTTTTTTCTCCCTGTGTACACAAGAGCAGGATAGAAAACAAGTTTGCAGCAAAATTGTGTAGTAGTGGGATTTGCAACACACTAAAAGCAATCAAGCTGCCACAGCCTCTACACCAGCTCCGGCTGCCGGTGCAGGCGTGTACAGTCCTGCTTGCATCAACAATGTTCTTTTGGCCCTCGCCAATCTTGATTTTCTTCTGGACGCCTTGTTTCTGTGAATCGTGCCCACTTTCGCACTCTTGTCGATTATCGAGTATGCGTCTGCGATCAACTTCTCAATGGGCCCAATATCCTCTTCGCCCAGGTCAGGCTTCTTCCTTAAGCCCTCGATTGCCGTCAACACCTGCATTCAGTGACACACAAAAGGAAAACAACACCATTCATTCATTCATTCATCACCGAGCACTGCAGCACGCGCATCAAGAAGCAGCTCAACCACATACCGGAGATCAGGAACCACAGACATGCTAGAGCAAATACGCAAAGCAAGCGCAGAAAAGAGCGAAGGAAAAGCGTGAACGAAAGGCTGTCTCTTATACACATCTAGATGTGTATAAGAGACAGGGCTTCTTCCTTAAGCCCTCGATTGCCGTCAACACCTGCATTCAGTGACACACAAAAGGAAAACAACACCATTCATTCATTCATTCATCACCGAGCACTGCAGCACGCGCATCAAGAAGCAGCTCAACCACATACCGGAGATCAGGAACCACAGACATGCTAGAGCAAATACGCAAAGCAAGCGCAGAAAAGAGCGAAGGAAAAGCGTGAACGAAAGGTGCGCATATTGGGAAACCAACTGCAACTCTTATCTTTTACGTTTCCCTCGGACCTCATTCTGCGAACATAAGACACCAGGTTTACAGAGGGGCAAGTATCTTTTCGCCGGAAAAGAGAACGATACAATGTCACACTGCCAAACATGTGATCCTCAAAGCGTCGGAAAGAGAAAAACAAAAGAACTGGGTGGAAGTATCGGATTCGACGCACAATGCACTGGAGAAGAACAGATAATCACATGGCACACAGACCCCTCTGCACAGCAGCTGCTCTCTTCCCCACTTTGTCACCCTCGCAAGTCCAGCCTGCTGCGGCAGAGCACCCTAAGCACGGTACCTTTCACACTTGGACAGTGCCAGTGCCTGCTCCACGTTAGGGAAAAGGACACTTCAGCCCCTGAAAAGCATGATACAGTTAGGAAGATGAGACGGAGAAAGTGAGGGTAGGCAGGTGTGACGGGACGTTTAGGAAGATTACCAACAGTCCCG